GACAGCAACAACTATGTATCTGAGAGATGGACAATGAATAAGGATGACAAAATAAAAATTGATGCCTTTGAATGATGGTGTTGGAGGAGACTACTGATATCTCATGAACTGCCAATAGGACAAAGATATTTCTTGGAGAATGTGAAGCCAGAGTGCTCCTTGGAAGCAAGGGTGGCGAAGTTTTGTTTCACCTACTTTGAGCATGTTGCTAGGATGTCCTTGGAGAAGGACATCATGCTTGGAAATGTGGATGGACAGTGAAGGCAAGGAAGACCCTCAGCCAGATGAATTGACACGTGGCTGCAGCTCTATTTTTTCAGAAATTGTGAGGTTGATGTATGTTCAGATATGCTATTCAGATATGCTGTTCACAGGATCCCTATGAGTCATACTAAACCTGACAGCAACTAATGACAACAGAAACAACTGTATAATTTGGGAGAATCTAGAGAACATTATGCTGAGTAAACTAACTCAGTATCTGTCTCATAGGGACAAATACTGCCTAAGACCATCATTGTAAAAATAGAAGAGTAATACTTGGACCAGGAGGCAGTTTTCACAACAGAGCAAGGAAACACTGCATGGTTCAAAATTGGGGAGAGTATATGACAGGAATGTGTCCTATCTCCATACCTTTTCATCCTGTGTGCAGAACAGATTATCCAGGAGGCTGGGCTATATGAGGAGAAGTGTAGCATTAGGATTGGAGGAAGACTCATTTAAAAATCTGCATTATGCACATGACACAACCCTGCCTGCTGAAACTGAGGAGGACCTGATGCGCTTGCTGCAGGAGGTCAAGGACTGCAACCTTCAATATGGATAGAAGCTCAGCATCAAGAAAACAGATTGTCACCACTGGGCCAGTTGGCAGCATCATGACAGATGGAGAAGAGATTGAGATCGTAAACAGGTTTAGTTTGCTTGGCTCCACAGTCAACACTCTTGGCACCAGCAGCCAGGACATTAAAAGACCTATTGCATTGGGAAAGTCTGCTGTCAGAGACCTACCCACAGTTCTGAAGAGCAATGATGTCAGTCTGGAGATTAATGTGCATCTGATACAGGCCATGGTCTTTGTAATCACTTGCTATGGGTCAGAGAGCTGGACAGTGAGCTTCATTGTTGGAGAAGAGTATTGAATATACCATGGACTGCTAAGAGGATGAACAGATTCATCCAGGAGAGGGTGATACCAGGCTACTCCTTGGAGCCAAGGATTCTGAAGCTTTGTCTGACCTACTTTGGACATGTTACAAGGCGGGACCAGTCCTTGG